CTGTCGGCATTGAATACACAGCCTGAAAAATACAATATATTTATTAGTTTATTTATGGCAACAAAGTAAGAGATGAATGGTTGTCTTATGTATACCATTCAGTTGACAAATAGCATTGGTCTGTGTTGATCTGTTCAGGATTTTACTGAGCAGATTAACTTGTATACTTTACTTTTTGAATATAGGAATTTTGTGAACAAGCAAAAGAGTTCATTTGCCTAAATGTTAGGCATAATCAGGTTAATACAAGCCTTTCTGTTTGCCTGTTTGATATGTAGTAAAGGTCCATTCAACTGGCAACAGTCGATCCATGATTAACTGGTCAGCAGAATAGCATGAGTGTATTTGCATGAAGGAGAAAGCATGCAATTACATCAAGAGAATTTAAAGTGTACATAACTTACCTTTCGTAATGTGTTTGTGAAGAAAAGAGTCTGAAGTAATGAGTTCATATAACAAGTAGCACCTTGGTTCTTTAACCCCACATATCCAGTATGCTTCTTAGAATCCCAACTGAAATATCGACAAAACCACACACATTATAACTTGTATATAGTCCATGTCTGTTGTGTGATAATAAATATTATATTGCCCTTCTACACGTATGTACGTGTAATAAATTATAATGCATTTGTATGTGTGTGTTATATTGACCTACTATTTATGTGTTCAATTATATTGCCCTTGTATGTGTGTGTTCAATTATATTGCCCTAGTATGTGTGTGTTCAATTATATTGCCCTTGTATGTATGTGTGTTCAATTATATTGCCCTTGTATGTATGTGTGTTCAATTATATTGACCTAGTATGTATGTGTGCATTTATAATGCCCTAGTATGTGTGTGTTCATTTATATTGCCCTAGTATGTATGTGTTCAATTATATTGCCCTTGTATGTATGTGTGTTCAATTATATTGCCCTAGTATGTGTGTGTTCAATTATATTGCCCTAGTATGTATGTGTTCAATTATATTGCCCTTGTATGTGTGTGTTCAATTATATTGCCCTAGTATGTGTGTGTTCAATTATATTGCCCTTGTATGTATGTGTGTTCAATTATATTGCCCTTGTATGTATGTGTGTTCAATTATATTGACCTAGTATGTATGTGTGCATTTATAATGCCCTAGTATGTGTGTGTTCATTTATATTGCCCTAGTATGTATGTGTTCAATTATATTGACCTAGTATGTATGTGTGTTCATTTATAATGCCCTAATATATGTGTGTTCATTTATATTGCCCTTGTATGTATGTGTATTCAATTATATTGACCTAGTATGTGTGTGTATTCAATTATATTGACCTTGTATGTGTGTGTGTTCATTTATATTGCCCTAGTATGTATGTGTTCAATTATATTGACCTAGTATGTATGTTTGTTCATTTATAATGCCCTAGTATGTGTGTGTTCATTTATATTGCCCTTGTATGTATGTGTATTCAATTATATTGACCTAGTATGTGTGTGTATTCAATTATATTGACCTAGTATGTGTGTTCATTTATATTGCCCTATTATGTATGTGTTCAATTATATTGTCCTTGTATGTATGTGTGTTCATTTATATTGCCCTAGTATGTATGTGTTCAATTATATTGCCCTTGTATGTATGTGTATTCAATTATATTGCCCTTGTATGTATGTGTATTCAATTATATTGCCCTTGTATGTATGTGTATTCAATTATATTGCCCTTGCATGTATGTGTGTTCAATTATATTGACCTAGTATGTACATGTATGTGTATTCAATTATATTGCCTTTGTATGTATGTGTGTTCAATTATATTGCCTTTGTATGTATGTGTATTCAATTATATTGCCCTTGTATGTATGTGTATTCAATTATATTGCCCTTGCATGTATGTGTGTTCAATTATATTGACCTAGTATGTACATGTATGTGTATTCAATTATATTGCCTTTGTATGTATGTGTGTTCAATTATATTGACCTAGTATGCATGTGTGTTCAATTAAATTGACCTGGTTATGTATGTGTGATCAATTATTGTGAACTAGTATGTATGCGTGTTTAATTATGTTGCCCTTGCCAGTGTGCTGCAACAGCGAACCCACCTAACTCCATGTGGTGCATCAGCAACAACATGTACTTCAAGAGTTATTGCATCATCTTTACAGTAACCCTTCTCAGGATCCAGAATATCCTGTATATAAAACATAATCATAGTAACAACACACTTTTATTGCCACAACCACAATGTAAACATTTTTTCATATTTTGCTTGCTAATAATTCCAAACTATCCTCACTTTAATACATGTAGCCTTGTAAACATCACACTTATGTGAACACTAGAGGGCATACTGTAAAACATGTTTATTTGAATTGTCTCTATTACTGTAAAATCTGTATTAGAAGCCACAGCTTCTATTTGAATGGTACAATGCAACAGAGGGGATGCGGTTTCTATTAGAGCATCTACACGTTGCATGGTAAAGAACGACCATACAATGCATGCACTTTTTGGTTTATGTATGCTTCTATTAGAGATGCACTTCTAATAGAGTAAATACAGTATATGGAAATTTTAAATTCTCTTTCAACTAAAATCATTGCAGAGATGAGTAACCCTTTCAATTTAGGAGAAATCAAACTGAATTGGATGTCACTAAAATTTGACATTAACATACAAAATAAACATTATTATGGGTTGAATGAAATTTATCTGATAAAAGTGTGATAAAATTGCAAAACAGAAAATACACATAGTATACAACAAAATCAAACACTCACCGCCCAGCTTAGAAAGTGACTGAAACCCCAATCATTTTCTTTACTATAAAACAAATGTTGAATTTCTGGAGTAGAAAAGTAAGAGAAAACAAAAACAGGATCAATAAGTTTTGAAACTTTGTTACAATACTGACATGAACTGTGATGGACATTTTACCTGTGATGCATAGAAGCCATAGACAAGCAGCCTCTTGGCTGGGATAGCTTCACTGTTAGCAATGCACATTTCAATTAAAGAACTGAAGATATCATTAGAAGTGAACAATATGTATAGTATCAAAGCAATCAGACTTGTTGTTTTCAAAAGAAATGTAAATTTTTACCAAAAATGACAAAAATATTCATCAAAATTATAGAATTATCGAAAAAGTAAAAAGTTGACACGAATGATGGCAGACAACAGACAATCACTCATATGATAAGCTCCGCTCGACAAAGTCAACAGCAGAGCTAAAAAAAAACAAAAAAAATGCACTGCTACACAATACATACTTGTATGTTTGTCATGTACAGTAACTATAGAAACCAAAATGAAATAGAATTTAAACTAACATAAAATGTTACTACTCACTGTACTATTTTCAAGGAAAATAATTTCTAATATGTAAATAAAAAATAATTTCAATTGAAAAATGGTTTGGAATCTGCTTTAGCTGTAATTTCAAGCGTCATTAAATCTGAAGATGAAGTTAACACATCATAGTGTGTCACTGTTTACAGATAAGAGTCAACACATGAGCATTTTTGCTTTTGCGCTA